TTCCCACCCCCCCTCTGATAACTGAAACGGCACCGGGGCCACTAACCATGCTCATGTGCCTCTTGTCATGTGACAAAGGAGCTACTCTCAGGCACAGTGGGCACTATTGCCCTGTGTAGCAGCGACACAAGGGCAATCACTTTTGACACAAACGTTTTTCAGGTGAATCCTTTCAAGTCACCTCTTCAGAAGAGCAGAGCGAAGCTGCAGCAGCTCCTGTCCGAACACTGATGTTTTGGTCCTGGTAGTAATTCATGTCCTGCTCCCTATAATAATATAAACAATTAAAAAAATAGTATTTTAGCATTACAATCGATTCTCACAATGGAACATTCTGAACGAAAGAACTGATATTTCACTATCTGTCCACATATCATTAGCATCCAGCCAGCGAGATGTAAGAAGAGGAGAGCCTTGATCACAGTTGAAGTCAAAGTCTGGCATTTCCAGTTCGTCAGGGCATGAGAGACTGTGATCAAACATTGGGCTGCTCTTTCCTTTAGGGACGCCTTCTGTGGCTTTTACTTTGGTAGCAATAGGCATTTTTGTGTGAATCATATCTTTTAAAAAAGTGGGTTTGTTGCTGGCTGGGCGCCACATACAATCTGACTTCTGTTGACTTGTCTTCATATGTGTTCGGCTCCTACAGACTGAGCACATCTTAGTCTGAGAAGTTCAAAATTCTAAGTGTTTTACTTGTGCAGCCTGGCAGTCGCTCACTGCAGCCTTAATGTATATTCCAGGGAAGTGTGTGTGTGCACAGGCATGTGTGTGAGAGACTTCAAAGCACAACTAATGTCAGGTGTTTGTCCAGCATGTACAGCTCTCCCTATTTTTCCAAACGTTTTTGTACTCTTATCATTCTGAGACCATACTGCCTACAAAATAGTTCTGTAAAATTCCAGTGTTCTCTTTGGTATTTAGGCTTTTGAAATGTATGGATAGAATATTTTTGTGAGTGCTCTTCTCTTCTCCTGTCTCTGTGGTAGACTGGGTATTTCCTCGTCTAGACTTTTTTGTAAAGTTTAATTACATAAATGATTCCTTACACAACCATGCAGGAATTCTATTCTTAATAATTATTATATTTTTAAAAATTTATTATAAGAGTATTCCTGCTTGACCTTTGTCCTGTGTCCTCTCAGACTACTGATTGGTTTGTGTCGCATTGATTCTGTGCTCCTGTAGAAACTCCTACGTCAGGCTCAGGCACCTGTGCACCAACACGTGGGTCCACAGCACCAACAACCCGATTGACAAGGAGGAGGAGAAGCCGGTGATGCTTTGTGTAAGTGAAGCGCTCATCGCTGAAGGTCTTTTCTGTCACATGGGGCCCTAGAGTTTCGTTTCTGGCTGTGGTGGAGGTTTTGTGTGTGATATATTATAAACAAACAGCGAATATTTCTGTTATTCCTTCAGATTGGCACATCTGCTCTTAAAGAGGATAAGGAGGCGTTTGCCATAGTGCCCGTTTCCCCAGCTGAAGTACGAGACTTGGACTTTGCTAACGATGCCAGCAAAGTGCTGGCATCCATTGCTGGAAAACTAGAGAAAGGAACTATTACGCAGAACGAGAGGAGGTGGGACCTCGTAGTTTTCTACCCATGTCTAGACACTGTGGTAGAATAAAGCAGAGTTGCAAACTAAATACTACACATGAGTAAATACCGAAAGCCTCTTTCTCAGTTAATACTTGTGAAAGTCTTTGACTTATTCAGATATGTATCAGCTCATAAATTTTGCGAAACATTTTTGTTGGTTGAAAGCTGTGATCTCTGGTGACTAAAGGTACTCTGTACCCAACTTTTTTTCTCACTGTAGGTTTGTCACTAAACTGTTAGAGGACCTGGTCTTCTTTGTGGTGGACATTCCCAACAATGGCCAGGACGTTCTGGAGATCATGGTCAACAAGCCAAACCGAGAGCGGCAGAAGCTCATGAGGGAGCAGAACATCCTCAAGCAGGTGGGTAGACGTTGACATCCACACCTGGTGTCTGACGCATAGCACAGAGAGCTTCCAGGCGCTGCATAACTTTGGTGGTACAGGAACTGTGGCAAATGTGAGTTGATTGGTGGACTTTATTTAACACCATAAGTGGGTCATTTTAGCAACTTCAGCTGTTTAGTAGCTTGTTGCGCCAAGATGAATGCATGTGGTCTGCGCTGCCAGATGTCCTCTTTGCATCACTAAACATCTCCATTCGGGTTTCGCACAAAGCAATATGCTCAGTTGGGTAAAGAGAAGATATATGTACCTCTGGGTGAAATCCAGTGTTATAGTTATTGCCCATTAAAGGCTTCCACAATTGCTTATTTCAGATCTTCAAGCTACTGCAGGCCCCCTTCACAGACAGCGGAGATGGTCCAATGCTGCGATTGGAGGAGCTGGCTGACCAGCGGCACGCCCCCTTCCGGCACATCTGCCGCCTCTGCTACCGCGTGCTGCGCCACTCTCAGCAAGACTACCGGAAGAACCAGGTTGGTTAGATGGACTCTGTGGAGTTGTGATAGATAGGGCTAGTGTCAAAAACTCCCCTGTGTCTTTTCCTTATTTCCTAAATCCCCTAGTCATACAGTAGCTGGAAGAAAAATGTAACAAAAAGAAAATGATCTGAGACATTTTGCCCATATTTTTTGTTCCAAGTTTTCTAACCCTTTTATGGCTCATGTAATTTGAATCTGTTAGTCTTTTTACTGTCCTAACTTGGCCAGCAGTTTTTTCTTTAGGTAGAAGTACATAGCACAGCATCTAATAAAAAAAAAAATAAACAAATTGCCGCACTTTTGTGAAAATGTCATGCGATCAGCTGGAATCATGCTTGGCATCACCAGTTGTCCTTGTCCCTGTGCAGGAATACATAGCGAAACAGTTCCGCTTCATGCAGAAGCAGATCGGGTACGACGTGCTGGCTGAGGATACCATCACGGCCCTGCTGCATAACAACCGCAAGCTGCTGGAGAAGCACATCACCGCAGCTGAGATTGACACCTTTGTCAGTCTGGTGAGGAAGAACAGGGAACCCAGGTGAATGACACAGGCTGATCCGGAAGGACCTGGGTTCGCCAGGGAAAATTCATAGTAATGCCCCTGTTTTCATAGCTACTCATGTTTGTAGCACTCTGCATTAAATGTACCTGCTTTTAGTAATAAGGATAGACTTTTACAGCTTGTCAGCCATTTTGAATGTAGATAGTACTTTCATTCAGTTACCATTGAATGAGAAACTGCAGATTAAAAACTAAGGCCCAACCCATATGAGCAACTTGTCTCCAATATAGATTTTAAGAAATTAAAAATTCTCATGACCAGTATCTTTTTATGTGGTCAAAAATTTAACATATACCAGTATCGTTCGTTAATTTGCTCCTTTGATGACTAATGTGATGAAATAAACACAAGATGAGCCATTTATAATTAATCTTATAACTTGGCCTAATAACATAACATTATGGGGGGCATGTGGTCACACACTAAGGCCCATTTCTTTCTTTAACTAAGCAATGACAACAAAGCTTCTGTTCCCACTGTAGGTGTTCGCTATAGTGCGAAACAATCAAGCACCTAGGCATTGACAGTGAAGAGCCCAGATATCCCCTGGTCCACACAGACAGCGGCTTGAAACAGTTGTAGTTGTCGCCACCAATCAAAACGGTTCCCTGTCTATTATAGACTCTGTATGTTAGCTTTGTACTTCTTGTTTTGAACATGTGAATTTTGCTTTGCTTGATCCCTGGCCTGCAATTTCCTGGCACACATTGTGTTTTGCAGTGCCAGTGGCATCTTTTGTAAAATAATTACATACCTTGCTTTTGCCAGCCGTGGTTTATGCAGTATACAGACAGAACACAGTGGGATTTATTATATATTTACAGGAAAAGAGAAATCAGTATTGCTGATTCTCTCAGTTGATATGTTCTTGTGGTGGAATATTTCAAATAAATATCAAATAAATGAGCTTCTTTCGTTTCTCAGTGCTATGGGTCTGCACTGTGTGAAGATTAGGTGCCTGTTCTGCGGATACCAAGTTAGACATTGGTAGAAGGAGGCGTCTTCGCAAATATGTGAGGAGTGCTACTGTAGCACTTATGATTTTAGCCTAGACACTTCAGCTCAAAACACCAGCAACTGCTTTTCTTGTTGTCATGTGGCTTTTGACTTCATCGGCAGACTGATGTCTCAATAGAGCCCTGTTAGAAATCTGAGCATCTTTTTTTATATCGTAAAATTTACAATGCAGGAATGTATGTTTAATATATATGTTGGCTTTTGATACTGTGATCAGATGAATATTGAAAATTTACATTATTAGACATTGCAGTGTACAATAGAAATGCTTCATTTACGTAAGCAATTAAAATTTCTCATAAAAAAAAAAATTCTGTTCAAGGCAAAAGCGGTTTCTTTTTCATTTGGTCCCTATGAAATCATCTGATGATGAAGCAAATAATTTTTTTGTCATGTCTTTGACCATGAACACAGGGATGTCAGTCTATTGCAGTACAGAGTCACGCCAAAAAAATCCACAGGGCCCTGTTCTGATAATGTGTGAAAGTACACGGAAAGGACAAATAGAAAATGTAAAGGCACAGCCTGTGCACTCACTTAACTGGGCTCAAATATGAATCCAAAAACCTATAGATATGAGGCCATAATGCTACCTGAGCCGTAATGCCATGGAATGAATATAACAGAATATACATTTATCCATATTACAAAGCTGATACAGTGGAAACTGCTTATAGTGATCATGTCTGTGTATTTTAAATTGATCACTATTAGCGAATGATCATTATAACAAATTTTTTTTCTTATGTCTCAGGCAGATTACCATCTAATTGATATTTGTATATATATTACATGAACATAAGGTAATAAAACAGATAGAGTTGCTATTTACTTAATTTTATTGATGATTTCAAAATAGAGTACAGTTGCTTCAAACGGTTTTAAAATTATAGTACTGTAGAAATTAAATTACTGAACTGTGTATAATTCAAATACGCTATAATACAGTACTGTACATAAATATTAAAATTTATTTATGCAGCACATTTTCAGTGTTACACTGTCTCAAAGCACTTATTGTAGTTTCGCTGCTGCATATTGTTGGCTCTGTTTTGGCAGTTTATCATAAGCTTTGATGAGTCTATATTTGTCATTGAGAGAAAATGGACTTTCTTTTTCCGATCGTGTTTTCTGTGCACGCCGCCTTAGCCTCAGGTATCTAGCCAGACACAGATGGGTCACCGCAAGGCAAAGTAGGACGATAAAAGTGAAGTAAAAAATAATAATAAATTACCACATTTTAAATTTTTTCCATATGTTCTCATGTTTCAAAAAGACCCAAAATGAACACTGTAAGCAGACTACTTGATTACTATAAGCAAATTATTTAAACGTTATTTGTACAGGAATGATTTTGTCCCAAGCTTTTTGATCCAGCGGTTCATCACTATAACTGTGATCATCTTAAATGGTTTCTACTGTGTAGCTATTTCGTTTGAATGAAAGAGTTGAACATGACTATTTAAGGCAGTAGTGTTTCATGGTGTCGTTCATTACTGTAGATCTAAGGCCTTGAACCTGTTTGTTACTATCACTTGGCCGTCATCTATTTCTGTTCCCAGGTTCCTGGACTATCTGTCAGATCTTTGCGTGTCCATGAACAAGTCCATCCCAGTGACCCAGGAACTCATCTGTAATGCGGTGCTAGACCCTAACAATGCAGACATCCTCATTGAGACTAAGTAAGCTTTTTAAATCTAATATGTCCAGTAGAGGTTATAGATAACAAAGGGTTATTCTTAAATGTCCTTAATTGACCCCTGCAACCCTTTATATGATAAGTGGTATAGAAGATGGATGGATGAATGAATGAATACCATAGAAATCATCTAAGCATGTACTCTATCTTTGTTGTCCATCCTGTGATGTATTGGATCTCTAACTTAATGTGTCCATCAGACTGGTGCTCTCCCGCTTTGAGATTGAGGGCATGCCCATGGGAGAGAATTCAGTAGAGTCTGAAGAGGATGAGGAGGAAGTGTGGCTCTTCTGGAAAGACAGCAACAAGGAAATTCGCAGTAAAAGTATTCGAGAGTTGGCCCAGGATGCCAAGGAGGGGCAGAAGGAGGATCAGGAAGTAATCGGTTACTACAGGTACACAGTGGTATCGTGGAATATCACTGGCAGTAAGACAACAGTGAGGAACAAGTGGATAGTGCATGGTATTAATAGTACAGTATAGATATTTGATATTAATAGTGGATCTGTTCCACTCTACAAATGCTATTGATATTGCCCTACAGATACCAGCTGAATCTGTTTGCCCGCATGTGCCTGGACCGGCAGTACCTGGCAATCAACAAGATCTCTGGCCAGCTGGATGTGGACCTGATCTTGCGTTGCATGTCTGATGAGGACCTGCCCTATGACCTGCGTGCCTCCTTCACACGCATGATGCTGCACATGCATGTGGATCGTGACCCCCAGGAGCAGGTCACGCCCGTCAAGTATGCCCGCCTGTGGTCTGAGATCCCATCCCAGATTGCCATTGATGAGTAAGTGTTTTCAGCAGAAAATGTTACATGCTTTATGCTCACTTACTGATATAGGTGCCTTGATGAGGTAATGCATGAGACCTTTATTGCCTTGTCGCAATCAAATAATAGTTTAACTGACTGGAGCTCTGCAAGAAAAACAAAAGAAATTAAAAACTCATCGAAAACTCATTATAATCCTAACAGCTATGATAATGATGGAACATCCAAAGATGACATTAAAGAGCGATTTGCTCAGACCATGGAGTTTGTGGAGAATTATTTGAGAGATGTGGTTTGTCAGAGCTTCCCTTTCTCCGATAAAGAGAAAAACAAACTGACCTTTGAGGTAGGTCACTCTGAAGAAATATTTGAAACAGAGTGAAACAAATTCAAAAGTAAATTTCACGTACTAAATACAAAATGACCTGCTCTGTTTAAAGGTTGTAAATTTAGCAAGGAACCTGATTTATTTTGGATTCTACAACTTCAGTGACCTTCTGAGGCTGACTAAAATCCTCTTGGCCATTTTGGATTGTGTCCATGTCAGCACCATCTACCCCATTAAGTTGGAAAAAGGGGATGAGAACAAAGGTAACGTCATGTTTCTTAAGCTTGCATTTGACCTCCACAGCCTAAACTGTTCTGTATTTGTTGCTTTTTGTCCCCTCTTTGACTGTCAGCCAGGCATTGTAATCCATACTGGTCTGGTCAGCTATCTACTCTCTCAGCTTGTATGAGGGGCATGTGATGTTTGATAATTGTTTGCACCATCAGGTAGTAATGTCATGCGCTCCATACATGGGGTGGGTGAGCTGATGACCCAGGTGGTCCTGAGAGGTGGTGGTTTCCTGCCTGCTGCCCCTGTCAACCCACCAAACGGTGATGTTGTCAAGACTCAGACTGAGCCAGAGAAGGAAGACATATTGGTAATGGACACTAAACTGAAGATCATTGAAATCCTCCAGGTAACACACTTGATGCAGCAAACCTTGAACTTCTACTACCATCCTAATCACGTCTTATGTCAGATTTATCATCACATACTCATACATTCATCAGTCTTGGTTTCTGGGGCAGGATCAAGAACCGATCAGACTCTTAGATGTAAACTCTCACTTTTCTCTCTGCCCATGGTTTCCATAGTTCATCCTAAATGTCCGTCTGGACTATCGAATCTCCTGCCTGCTTTGTATCTTCAAACGGGAGTTTGATGAGAGCAATTCTCAGGCAGATCTATCACTGGGCAGTGGTCAGGAACTACCTAGTAACATGCCAGGTGAGATCATCACCACTCAGTCGAAACACGGAGAACTAATTGCTCAACACCTTTAATGATGTATGGCAGATCTGTCTTGGGCAGATTCATCCTTCAAAGTCAGATTCATGATGTATCAATATAACATATTTATAGGTAATATATCTTCTCCATTCTAATAATTTTCTATACCACTGCTTATAAATGCAGGAGTTGTCCTTTGAATAGTCACAAATATCTCAAAGCTTTGACACCTTTATCCAGTTATAATGCAGCTGTTGTGCAGTAGAACCTTATTACAAGCCTTGATCCCATTTTCTCTCTTAATCTTCAGTGATTTCTGTACTTTCTTTTGTTAAAGGAGCGCTGGATTTTGAGCATATAGAGGAGCAAGCGGAAGGGATTTTTGGTGGCAGGTGAAGGCTTTCTAGCTAAATGTGAACGCTTGTGTTTTGTCTACTTTCATCTTAATAAGACTTCGTTCTCCATTATCTAAGTGTATCTCATACTTTTAAAAGCACCCATCGTTTTTTGGTAAGGGTCTCTTGACTAAAGTTACAGTGCAGTTCTCGGTAAAGCAGTCATCATAATTCATCATAAATACCCCCATAATGCATTATAATACATTAATAACGTATTATAAACACGGCTATAACTATTTATAAAAAAAAGGCATAACTCATTTTCGCCGTGTTTATTATGCATTATGAATTCTCTATGAAGCGCTCATCATTAATGCACTATGGATACATTCATAATGCGTTATAATGGTCAGCCGTGTCTATAATACTTTGACTGCATTATATTGCATTATGAAGGTATCAATAATGGATTATACATGACTGCTTTGAGTGTTTCCCTGTTCTCTTTCTTTATTAGCCCTTAACACTGTTATCCTAAATGTTTTGGTGCAGTTAGAGGTGTTAGTGGTTTTAGATCATAGTTAGTACTTGGTTAGTTTTTGTTGTTGGTCATATTGGGTTGCCTGATTGACGTGATTGTTTTGGTCATGTCTAGTGAGGAGAACACGCCCTTGGACCTAGACGACCATGGAGGGAGGACATTCCTCAGAGTCCTTCTTCACTTGACAATGCATGATTACCCTCCTCTGGTGTCTGGGGCTCTTCACCTTCTCTTCAGACATTTCAGTCAGCGACAGGAGGTCCTGCAGGCCTTTAAACAGGTATCTGTCCATGGAGATACCTTTTGTCATCCAACTGAGTAGAAATCTTTGGCATTGACATAACTTTTCGTGTTAATTCAATGTACTGTAAATGCATGTAGTCCGTTCTTGTCATTGCTCGATCATGGAATACGATAAGGGCTGCCCCTTCATGACAATGTCTGTATCATTTTGGTCAGTACTCCAGTCATCACCCTATCTACTGCTCCAGTGTGGGAACAATAAGGCATCCCTACCCCCAACAATTTCCTATTTTAGGTTCAGCTGCTGGTGACAAGTCAGGATGTGGAAAACTACAAGCAGATCAAGTCAGACCTGGACCAACTTCGCTCCATCGTGGAGAAGTCCGAGCTGTGGGTTTATAAGCGGCAGGGTCCGGATGAAGGCATCGACCCTGGTGATGGACCATCAGAGTCGGTCCACAAGAAAGTAAGCTCACCATTACATAATTATAATTTACCCATAACAGTTATTGTATATCATAATTTAATAAGGAAGCCTTTGTTTTTTTTTTTTTATCTGTTCCAAATACTCTTGATAAAATACTCTTGAATATAAGGTGCACACAAGTAAACTTAGTTAAGGCGTCCTTTTGTCTGACTCCTTTTACGTTAATTGTTTTACAGGGAGATACGACTCAGAAAAACAGCTCAGAAAAACCAAAGAAACCGGAAAGCACCAGTAGTTACAACTACCGAGTTGTAAAAGAGGTACACTTGGGATTTTCTTTGTGGTGTAATAATTTACACTATATCTCTGTCAAACACCGACTGTCATCATTACAACACTTTGTTTTTGTAAGGTGTGTTGATACATTGCTTTTTTAAGAGCCAAATTATTTTTATGTCTTGATGTTCTTTCTAAATATTTAGTAACATTCTAAAACTCTCATAGAGCCTTATAGGCAGCTGACCCAGGGTTAGAGCCATGCTGATACTTACCGTATTTGCTCAGGTTCTGCTGCGTCTCAGCAAGCTGTGTGTTCAGGAGGGTGCGTCAGGTCGGAAGAGCAAGAAGCAGCAGCAGAGGCTCCTGAGGAACATGGGCGCTCATTCGGTGGTCCTGGAACTTCTGCAGATCCCTTATGAGAAGGTAGTGCATAGGTTGAAAAAGGGGGCATTAGAAACGGATTTCAGAATGAAGAAGAGTTTATTGAATTGGACTAAGGAGCAAAATTATCCAGGACCAAATCTAGAGTAGGATCTTGGATGATGTACCTGTTCAGAACAAATATTGGTTATTGGGCTAGTATGATGTATATTTCTTGTGTGCACAGGGGGAGGATGTTCGCATGCAGGAGATAATGAAGTTAGCCCACCAGTTTCTGCAGAATTTCTGTGCCGGGAACCAGCAAAACCAGGCCCTGCTTCACAAGCACATCAACCTCTTTCTAAACCCTGGGGTAAGCATATTGGCAATGGAAGACAAAGCAAAAAGATTTTCTTGAAACTGGGTTTCAATATTCAGATGGATGTTTTATGGGTGCATTTTCTTTTTTTTTGCAGTTATTTTGACTGTTTGTGTTTCTTGTGCTGCAGATCCTGGAGGCAGTAACCATGCAACATATATTCATGAACAACTTCCAGCTCTGCAGCGAGATCAATGAGCGCGTGGTGCAGCACTTTGTTCACTGCATTGAGACGCATGGCCGTAACGTGCAGTACCTCAAGTTCTTACAGACCATCGTCAAGGCTGAGGGGAAGTTCATCAAGAAGTGTCAGGATGTCGTAATGGCTGAGGTGAAATCTCTCGCCTCGCATCTGACACTGGTTCCCTCATGCAAATCCAGCATATTTTGGTGTCCTGCTCTCTTTTCCCAGCCATGCGAGCTTGTTGAAGGACTCTGCATCTTTCTTCAGCTATTTATAAATTCTGGGCTATATCTGTCTTTGAGGGCTGCAGGGAATGGTGATTTTTGTGATCACTCCGCTGTTAATGAACCCTTTTGTTTAGATGGAACTGTTAAATGAATGAATCATGAATTACCAGTTATTTGTTAACTAGTTTTTCAGTTGTGTAATATAATTGAATTATATTTAAGCCACTGAAGGTGCAGTTTCCTTAAATTTGATTCTTTATGAAACTAAAGCAAACAGGATGGGAAATACATATTTTTTGTGAATTTTGAGATGACATCCAAATTTGAACCTAAGTAAGCCATTTGGCATTGACTGAGGGGCTTATTTTCACATCCTTTACACATCCTTTGTTTATTCAGTAGGAGCATACAGCATATTTCACTTTCAGCAAGGGGCTACAGGAAAATGGTTCTTGAAAAGCATGTTATTTTTCTCCTTGATTTTATCTAGAGCCAGTAAATTATCACAAAAATGTATAGTATGAGGAAGTGCAAACTGTTTGGAGAAGAATATTTTGTTTGCCACAAAAGCATCCTGCACTCTAGGTTTTGTTCTGCTTAATGGTTTAAAGATTGCAGTTCTTGAGCTGCTGTATTTATGTATATCTTGCGTAATGTGCATAAGCACCGTTTAAGTAAATACTTGCATGTTTATTGTTGTAAAACCATTACTCCCATTTTGTCCGACCCACAGCTGGTAAACGCAGGGGAGGACGTGCTGGTCTTCTACAATGATAGAGCCTCCTTCCAGACACTGGTGCAAATGATGCGGTCGGAGCGAGACCGCATGGATGAGAACAGCCAGCTGATGTACCATATCCACCTGGTGGAGCTCTTGGCCGTCTGCACCGAAGGCAAGAACGTCTACACAGAGATCAAGTGCAACTCGCTGCTGCCTCTTGATGACATCGTCCGTGTGGTAACGCACGAGGACTGCATCCCAGAGGTAATGGTACTGACTGCAGCCATGGTGGATCAGATCTGTTTATTCTTGGAATCGATAATGACTCTGTCTGTTTGAGACCACATGAGGAACTTATTGTAAATCTCTTCATATTTACAATTGAATTGGTCTGTGGAACTACAGAGTGTTTAAGCATGGAATGCAATATGCAAACTGTTCAGTTTATGGTGGCTTCTGCCTCGCTGGTATGGAGGATTTCTCACACACTATTGGCTGGAGCGATTCTATCTAACGGTAAATGGACGGTGTTGGATGTAACCTGTTGTGTGGAGGGAAAAAAAAAACTTCCTCCAGCCCATTAGAAACACACGTACCAACTTCTCATGGATTCTGCCCCAGATTAACACGCACGTTTGCTTTTCTGTTCTCCAGGTGAAAATTGCCTACATCAACTTCCTAAATCACTGCTATGTGGACACCGAGGTGGAGATGAAGGAGATCTACACCAGTAACCACATGTGGAAGCTCTTTGAGAATTTCCTGGTTGACATCTGCCGGGTAAGGATTAAGAATTTCTGCAAGTCTCCTCAAAGTAAGACAAGTCATACAGTACAGAAGCTATTCTGTCTTGCCACAAGTGACACTCTTTAGTTAATCTCTTATTTAAATGTTTAAATAATGCCATATACACAAGGGTTCCTCTGAACCTATCATATGGAGCATTTTAAAGATTTGTGTGTAGTTTCTATTGGTGTTGCTGCTGGGAATGGAATGCAGTGGAGGCCACGCCCCCTGAGAGCTCTACCCCTGCAGGTGTGCAACAACACAAGTGACAGGAAACACGCTGATACAGTGCTGGAGCGCTATGTGACGGAGACGGTCATGAGCATCGTGACCACGTTCTTCAGCTCTCCCTTCTCAGATCAGAGCACCAGTCTGCAGGTAATCCTGGCAAAGTGCTATTTGCATTAGTGTCCGTGACCTAATCTATATATGAATATCGATATACATATAGGTATAAAATATCACACACACACATATATATAAATTGTGTATATATAAGCCCATATTATATTATGATATGATTCTATACAACTTTATTGTCAGTCACAGACTGAAATTCTTGATTATTATACATTGCAAAAAATGTAGCTGGACCTTCCTTAGCATTCAGCTGCATTATTATACATGTTCCTCACTGCACTGGAAAATCGCCACCATGTTGTTAAATGAGTCATATAAATTGTTGTAATGAACATTGTTAGAGTGACATTCTGATAGTGACTGTGCTCCCTGTGTGTTCCTTCGGAATAGAGCTGTTAATTATCGGTGCTGGCAGACGCCGTTTACAGCCAGGTGCTGCTGAAGATCTAGTTCCGCTCTGTGTGCTGTTAACATTCAGATTCTCCTCACATAGATGCCAGATGTTGCTGCATGCTAGTGAATTTTGGCCAAGACATTTATACAGTATCATATATCCCAGTCTCACATTGAAGATATCCTTCTGCCTTCTTACTGACTTATGAGCGTTCAGTGGCTGATTCATGGGGTTGCTTTTCCCCCTGAGAGATCCTCTCGGGGGGTAATTGAGGTCTGGGAAGTTAGGTAATGAGTGTCTGGGTTTTCCAACATTCCCCGCATGGCTTTGGACTGGTGCCCACTGGTGAGCATGCAAGCGTCCATTGGAATTTGTTTCCTGTTTTACTGGAAAGGCTTTGTGTATTTGTTAAACCAGAATACAATCAGTTTTTGGTTATCTATAAATTACATTAATTAGTTTTTACTCATGCAGTCTTTTTTTCATAAAATATTTTCTTTTAACTTATAAACTATGCTCTGTTTAAATCATCACTGGACTTCTTTTACTTCAACTGACACAAATCCTTTATTTGTTTCTCAGTTCCTTTTATAATATAGGCACACAAGGGTCTGTGAAAGTTTAAATACGCCCTTGTCAACAATACGCCCCCCCCCATTAAATTTGGGAGCCACGGGAAAGTTATTGAGTCACATGATACAACAAAATGGCTTTTTGTCTGATGCATGTTGGAGATACAGGTATTAAGCGGAAGCTCTTGGGTTGTAACAAAGTCAGGTCCAGTGAGGCCTCCAGTTTTACATCTGCAGGAAGTTTCTCTGCTTATAATTCTGTACATTTTTTTTTGTTTCACTTCAGGAATCTATTCTGGGCAAAATATTAGAGGTATTTAAACTTCAATAGAATGACTACACTGATTTGGTGTCACTGGGTACTGTAAATGTTGTGTTGTGTACTCTACCCCTCCCCACCGGCAGCATGTCTAAGTGGGGGGAGCTTGTGGGTCAGTGGTTGGACACCCCAATCCTGGGCTCCACCTCCAGTCTGGGACTTGACAGGGAATGTATGTCATTGGTTCACCATTTCTTAAAGACCATTATGGCTTTTAAATTAAGCAAGTCATTTTTGATTTATGGCACATTGTTTATATATAATATCTGTTTGCTAGTTTGACTGGGGTTTTACTCTGGTTTCGGTTGTGTATCACTTGCATTCCATTTGCATGCCTGTTTATGCAAGTTTCACGGAGGGAAATTGCCCTTCTGCACGCAGGGCTATGGGCCTCTGCCCATGTCCTGTTCGACATTTCCTCGGTTGGCTTGTTCTTAACTAGTGAACTTTGACCCGGGATGTTACACTTAAATTTATTGATTTTTGGGTTTAAGAAAACAACACAAAGTTCTTCAAACCCCAGGGACTGCTGGGCTATCATGACACACTGGCAAATTACTAGGGAGGAGAGAACTAAGAAGACTAGGCTTCACATATCTTTGACATTAATTTGCGTTGGTGACATTGTAACTGTAACTGTGAGCTTCATGGTATGAGCTCTGCAGGTATGAAATGAGGTGCCTCTTTCTTTTTTATGGTGCCTGGAGCTCACAGACAGATGCATACTGGAGACGCTACTGCAGCACTATCTCAATGCTGTTCTCTCTCCTCCTTTTCTCATCCTGTCATGGTAATGTTCATATTCTTTTCTTACGCCTTCACTTTCACCTGTCTCATTCACTCCCTTCTTCCTTTCTCCTCCCTTGCATGACCTTTCTACATTATCATTTATACCTTATTCCTTTTTCTCTTGCCTGTATGTTCTCGTTCCCTCTCTGCTCCTCTTGCTTCTGACTGGTTCCCGGTCTCCTCATGCCGTTTAGCTTAACGCCCCTCTCTGCTCTCCCCTCCGCTCTCTGGCAGACCCGGCAGCCGGTCTTCGTGCAGCTCCTGCAGGGAGTCTTTCGGGTGTATCACTGTCACTGGCTGATTCCAGCACAGAAGGGCTCTGTAGAGAGCTGTATTAAGGTGCTTTCTGATGTGGGTAAGTGCTGCTGTCTCCCCACCCCCAGAGTCAGGTTTTGTTCCCAAAGGGGGTCACTTAGTAATGTGCAGCATCATGTAATTTTGAATCTAGCTTAAGGGTTTAGCTTACATTTTTAAATATAACCTAAGGGCAGTGTAGGTGGCCACAGCTCTCTAAAAAATAAAAAATAAAAAAAAGAATGAGTCATTTTTGTAGTTTAAAGCTCCATAGCTCTAACGCCAGTATTTTGACCTTTACCCATAGTTCTCTGTCTATAACATAAGTATTCTTTTTGTAGCCAAAAGTCGAGCAATCGCAATACCGGTGGACCTGGACGGCCAGGTGAACAGCCTCTTTGTCAAGTCAAACAACATTGTGCAGAAGACCGCCATGAGCTGGCGCCAGTCTGTGCGGAACGCTACCCGCCGTGAGTCGGTGGTCACCACCTCGCGGGACTACAGGAACATCATCGAGAGGCTCCAGGTGAGAGGGAAGCCCACAGGCAGAGAGCTCTGTGGAGTGTCTTCCGGGGCCCCTGTCCCCCCAGCACAGGCCTCTCTGGCCTGGGTTACAGCGTTTGTGTTCAGGAGCAGGGCCTCTGGGCATGAGGACGTTTCACTCCAAAGTTGATGGAGTGATTGGTGGTTGTGTGTGAGGTTTACCCTCTCCTGGAAATCCTTTGAAGTGTTTAAGCATTACTTTAAACACTACTTTTAATGGGTATTTTTCTTCTTTTCAATTAGTATAATATTCTATCTTATTACTAGAAGCAATTGTACAGCTTGTTTGGACGGTAGCCCAGTTGACTCCCTTTGCTGGGAAGCATTTCCTGCCCATAATAAATTAATGAGAATCTGGGGAATGAAGGAAATGGTTTTGATAGCATCAGTCAGTGTTTGCTGTGTATCCTGGTACCAGGTCCCGAAAGGCCATTCCTGTATCTCCATGTGTGAAAATGAAGCTGTCTTGTACAGTAGTATGACGCCGGCATCTTAAGGCTCCACAGTGTCCCTGCGCGTGCGCAGTCCCAGTATGCATTACATTGTGGGAACCAAATGTCCCCAAAATGTGATTAAAACCTGTTATTTTGACGTTGTGGGGCCATTGTTTTTCAGTCCCAGCAAGTGGAAATTTTATAAAAAAATATGTGACTGCAATCGTCAAGCTAAAAATGCCAAAAGTCTTGTATTTTGTTTTGTTACTTATGGTTAAGGTTAGTGCTGGGTAGTTGTTAAGGTCGTCATAGTTCGCATTAGCATTCTTCCCAGTCCCCACAAAGATGAGTACAGGTCTGTGTGTGTCCACATGTATGTGTGTGTGTGTTCATATGAGAGTTTGTCTTCAGGGCTGTGTCTTGCATACCCCCCCCCCCCCCCCTCGCAGGACATCGTCTCCGCCCTGGAGGACCGCTTGCGGCCTTTGGTCCAGGCCGAGCTCTCTGTGCTGGTGGACGTGTTGCACCGACCGGAGCTGCTCTTCCCGGAGAACACGGACTCCCGCAGGAAGTGTGAGAGCGGCGGCTTCATCTGCAAGTAAGGGACAGCAGCTGCCTTGCAAGTCCGAGGAAGGTTCAGTCCGGAATGGCTCCTTTTACGCCCCCCCCCGATTGGGTTCATTTGGGGACACGCGTCGGCAGTGCTGCAGTGACTGACTGAGTGGTTTTAGAATTAAAGGATTATTCAGTAACACCAGAGGAGGTTTGAACCAACTTGATGTTTCAGGTGAAGAAAGCACTTTGTTTTCCACTAGGCTGGTTTTTAATCACTGGCTGACTTTAATATGCCGCCCAGTCTTATCTTTATTTAATTTGCATGTTAATATCTTTGCTTCGTTGCCTCATCCGGCTCTTTCCTGCCCCCTGGAGAAAGGAATGCAGTGTAATATGCAGATGCTGATGAATCAGCTGACCCCTCACATGTAAGCGTGTATGAGCGCAGCCTGAACTAGGCCGCCGTTTGCCCGTGTCTGTACGCATGACCTCTGTGACGCAGTACCGTGCTGCGCTGACGCACACACACCTCTGCAGTGATTCGGATTCTCTCACTGAAGGGGTACCTGCATTAGAGAGGGATTGTCTTATTTCAAGCGTGGCATGGATCTCCGCATAGCGTGTGATCATCAGGATTCTCGCTAAGGTTTCCGAGAGCAAAACCAATCCCTCCGCTTGTTCCTATAAGCTGCGTGTTTAGTCTCGTGCTGGTTCCAGGGAAATCAAACACATATTTTGGATTAATAAGTCAGGTGTTACTTATTCAGAGTCCCTATCCAAAATAGTTATAAGCATTACATTGCACAATGTGTCTCCTGGCAATTAACCCTTTAGTGCCATGTAATAGAGAAGTGCTGTTTTTTGCAACTCATTCTTATTTTAAAATTTGTACTTTATAATAAAGGATCCTTTATTAAAGCTCATTATTTCATTGTTAAAGCTTTTTTCCAGCCTTATTTTTGTTCTTGATTTATATTTTTAAATAGCTGAATGATAATTGGAAATGCATGCGATCTGTATGTGTAGATGTGCACAGTTTACCACATTGGTCAGTTTTTGTCCATAAAACGTGACCTTTTAATAACTCCCCCTGCCTGTGGGCCCACNGTGACCTTTTAATAACTCCCCCTGCCTGTGGGCCCCCCCCCCCCCCCCCAACAGACTCATCAAACACACAAAGCAGCTGCTGGAGGAGAATGAGGAGCGGCTGTGCATCAAGGTGCTGCAGACTCTGAGGGAGATGATGACCAAAGACAGGGGCTACGGCGAGAAGGTACTCCCCCCCCATCCCTCCCCCACTGACTAACAGACAGCCCCTCACCGGCGTTCTGTATCAGTTAGCTGTGCTGTTGGGTTACTCTGTCCCCCCCCCCCCCTGTGATTGAACATGTGCTATACTGAGTCTGCACCCATGCAGGGCTGACGCAAACACACGCGGCACCTCCAGCCCCCTCCCTCAGGACATGGCTCAGTATGAGTCACCAGCGGGGGGGGGGGGCTCATCAGCCCCTTCTCACAGCACAAATTCAGCAGCCCCCCCGCATATCCCCCATGGCTGCTCACACTGTCCGTTCCACCACTTCACACACAGCATGTGCTCATCATCTGTGTGCATCTCACCGGATGTAAAATACGGGCATGTGTTCCTCCCCATGCGTGAAAATAGATCCAGACTTCCTGTGCCTTTTTTTACTGTGCTAATCCTTATCAGATCCTAACATTGTTTTACTTACTTAGATGTGTGTTTTTAATATTATGCTTAACCCAGTTTTCACGCTGATAATGGAGCTCTTTCTGATGGACTAACTCACGCTCTATAATCTTCTCTTCCAGCTGATTGCCTTTGATGATGAAATGGATGTGCCTGAGGTTGACCGGTTCCTTTTTTAGTCTGTTTATGTTTGTGTCTGTAGATCTGCTGTAGAAATTTTTATTTTTTTTTGTCTGTTCTTGTGCTGACTTGTCATTCATCCATTTTACACCCCTTCCTGGTACAAATTGAGGTCAGTAAGTAGGCCTGCCTGTTCCTATGATTCACGTGACTGTTACTGTGGTAACGCCTGGTGTGGTCGAGTTCCCGAAAGCTTGCAGTCACCTGCCTGAAAAGAGTCAGTCAGAATTTGTACACGTCTGTACATTTCTTTAGTTTTCCTCAGGCCTGTAATAGTCAGTGGCATGTGTGTTCAGTCCAATTGAACACTTTATAGATGCACTTCAGTAGACAGGACTGTCCTGATCAGCTCAGTGCCACAGATCAGTTTGCTGGTTTGTTCTTTTGGTTTGGTTTTGTTCGGTTTGGTTTGCTTTTGTCAGTTTGTTTATTCTGCTGCTTCAGGGAGGATTCATATACTAGATCAGTGGCCACACACAAGCATCATGTGTTGTTCACGTTGGTGGTATAATGGTAATATGCTGTACTGAAGTTTTCTGCAGTCTTGGCAACAAATCTTGGTCTCCCGTGCACCAGAAATAGCATTGCTTTTGTTAATACCATCATATTACCATATACCATGTCATTCTGTCTGGACAGTTTGACTATGATAAATAATACCGCTTTTAAGATGCTGTGATTCATTAAAATAATACAATTTAGTATCTGATTTACATGTATGGTTTAGACTAAATAATATTCAGAAGGGAAAGATGGTGAAGATTGTCCATTGCCTGTTTAATATGAAAATGGTCTTACATTTTAGATTGGGACTTTACTGTCATTTGCCATTTGCGCTTTTTACTGTCATCCTAATAAATCATCACACTGTGCTGTTTTAGCAGATGCTGAACACAGCGTGTTTGCTGAGCTGTGCTGGCTGTGCGTGAGCTGCACAGGTGGCCTCACCTGGAAGGTCAGCTGTGCGGAGATGGGCGGGAGCGAGGAGGCCACGCGGGGGCAGGTGGCCCCGGGGCTTTTCAGTACCGCGTACCTGTAGAGGGTGACGCGCTGAAAGGAAAGCGTGAGAAGCGTGTCCGTGTCCGTGTCACCAATCCAGGGCCGAACCGTGTAGGTGGCTAGCAGGCAGTGGCCTGATCGGAATAGGTGCCATATGCGAGACAGGCCTCAGCAGGGACAGCCGTCTGATTTACACTACAGGAACTGGGTTGGTCTTAAAGCCCAAGTCTCCCCATTTCCAGGGAAAAGGTTTAATAAAGTAATTATGTCCTGCAAAATAGGGCCGTTTGGGAGCAGATGTGTAGTGAAACTGGCCTGGGTGTCTGTGCGATGCACTATGTGAGATATATAACACTCTGGAGTGTCTGTACAGACACACGCTCAGTCAAAGCACCTGCTGTGGAACACATCCCCCCTTCATCTCCCCCATTCTCCCTAAAACTGACGCGTCCCATAGGAGCCTCCTGGTGTCTATCCTCTCGTTCTGGCTGAACATTACATTCCCAGTCATGGAAAAATATCCGCTGGAGCCCTCAAATTAAAGATTCGCCTTCCCAATTTCACCCCCTTTGAACCCTCTCCGTAACAGTGGCAGACACCCCCCTCTGCACTCCCTCCATCAATCGCCAGCAGTCAGAAAGGACCTCGGAGACGAATACTTGCCTTTTCCGTCCTGCATGGTTGTCCTCAGTCCCCCAGTGTGACATGACAGCTCAGGAGCCACAGTCTGTATGCTCAGGGCTGCTGTTACATAATGGAGACCATCCGAACGCACTGGAAAGCCTCCCCACGTGTGTCTCCTTCACCGTGTCACAGCCAGCTGAGCGGGACGCTTCCCTTTCAGCCAGGCAGCAGCGGCTCACAAAACTGCCTGTTTGTCTCCCCCCTGCCCTGCCTTTACACTCTTGCCCTCTATCCATTTTTTATTTTCCCTCCCTCAGATGAGATTTCCCCATATTTTTTCTCGCTAACCTCTTCAGACGTCAGCATATCCTCCTCTTAGGTTTCTCACAGACCCTGGTCCCTCTCAATCCACCTCTTGGGCTCTGCTTGCCCTTCCTGCTACCAGTGTGTTCCAGCAGGGGGCACTGTGAACATGATTGTGTGCAGCGCCGTGGTGTCCTAGTTTTTCCCCAGTCTGCAGGCTGCACGATTCTTGAACTCCCGCCAGCTCTCAGGCGGGAGTTACATAAGAACTGACGCTTTTTTTTTTTTTTCCTGGAATTCAGGCTCTTCACTGATGTGTGACCTTCAGCAGTAATTGCCAATAAAAGTGCACCAGAGCTGTTTACTGCAGGACCCTGGCAGTGTGACTGCGCACTGGCAGAGGAAGGGAGATGGGGAGGGGGCCGTGTTTGCAGACCCTGCCAGATGGGCATTGGCTATAATCCGGGATCCTCGAGGTCATACCCTGTTAACTGTTCCATGCCTATAGGCCCTAAGGTCAGAGTTGATGTAATGTGGGACTCAGCCGATTGGCTGGCTAGGTCTGTGCTACATCCTCCCCTCCTGTCACTGTGGCTACACAGCCACGCCCATAACCCCCCACCAGCACCGCTGCTTGTGATGTACTGAGCTGATATCCAGCTTGTGAAATGATGTCACCTTCAAATAAATATTTTTTTGCATATCCTTCTAAGGCTGAAATCCTTGTTGCAACAGGCATACGGTGGATACTTTTAAAGCACTTCAAAAACAAGCCTGTTGTGTGTTTTCTCATTTCAAACACTTTTTGCAGATAAACTGTCTAATTTTTACTGATTCGAATGACCAGTTGGTTCATTCCGACAGGCAGCATGTTTTCACTGCAGATGAAACCAAAAAGGTACCTGCAGAGGTTTTCAATAATCATCAATAGAAGGGAGGAGCTGTAAAATTGACCTCTGAATATTTCAGTCAGTCATCAACATTTTAGGAGGTTTTTAGTCATTTATAGATTCTTTTATGAAGTTTACTGGTGTCTGACACCTGTGCTTCTCTCGGATTTATTAGAGCTATTGGATTGACATTCTGCCCCCCAGAAGGGTCATTAACTGCAGCAGAGTCCTCATTAGTGCATGTCTGATGCAAATTCGGGCTTCAGAATATACAGTCATTCTGTGAATTTAATGTTCCTGTTTTTGCATGTACTTTTTTTGTTTTAAACCTGTATTGTTCAAAAAGCATATCATATATGTAGTAGCTAACACTAGTTTTCCAATTAGTGGTCATCTGCAAATTAATTGACGCTACCTCTTGAAGTATATCCGAAAAGCCAGGTTGCTGGTTGCAGGTGACTTGAACGGCACAAGAGTGGGAATGGACTGGAATTACGGGGCCGTTTTCACCGATTGGATTTTTGTAGTTGATGTCCCTGAAAGCATAGAGCTGTTTTGCTTTGGGATTCTTGGTTTATTCTTGAGTCTCCTAACTATACAGAAAATAATATGATTGTTTTAAATTAAAAATTGAATTGATTGTGCCAACCTGGGTGTTGCTGTCGCTCTTGCTGAGGCAAAGACAAATGAATAGAGGGCTTCTAAGTAGATTGCAGACATTGTGGTTTTTCTGAGACACTGCAGACGGTACGTTTCTCTGCCCCCCCCCCCCCATGCCTTTCTTCTAAATGACAAATATTCCCACAGACCCTTTGTTTGATGTGGTCTGAATCCCCTTCTGAACTCTGTTTGATTTTATCAAGGGTGTTGGCCGGTTTGTAGCCTCCTCTTCCTCCCCGGATGTCGCCTGATGACGAAGGTACCACCATGACTAAGCTGCAGACACACGCGTGTCGTGCCAGTCAGGATTATACTATTTGACGCCAATGATTTAGCTTTTCTTTCGCTGCTTCAGCATGTCTAGGGTTGTGGGGTTTGGATGAGACCTCAGCTCCCACTGTGCAGAATGTCTGCTGCTTTTTTTGTTTTTTTTCCTTCCTCAGTAGACTTGTTTTTCTGCCACGGTTCAAAAGACCTCGTGCTGTTCAGGCAAGGAGATGGGCCACAAGATCTTCTCTGCCAGAGGGCTTCTCATGAGTTGCACCAAGTGGTTGGATACCTCCATTGGCATCTGTACCACACGTGGAGCCCCTCTTTGTTTTAATCTTCTGTTTATATGGAATAACTGGACTTTGTACCTCTCATCCTTTAATTGCTCCAAAGACTATAATAGGACTTTTATTTCTGGATTTATGGTCCATCATTTATATTTCTGGATTTATGGTCTCCTGCATTTCCAGGCAGAGATGACATGTCAGTACACCTTACAGGCCCTGTGTTGTACTCTGCATAATAGACCTCTGTTGTTGCATATCACTGTTATTCATCTATAGTTAATACCAATATTGGCTGTAATGCAAATGGCCATTGTTGAGATTCTCCATTTGCGGTGGCTTTTTTCTTCAAATTCTTAAGTACAGAACCTCACATGCTGCTGATCATTTGCACCCACATGCTTCTTTTTGCCGAGTCACGAGAGAAGTTCCGGTCAGCTATAGCCTCCGGAAGAAAGTGACATCTTTGCACTTCTATAGAGAAGAACAGATTGAGGCTTCCTGCTTTAATTTGTGGGGGTGGGTTTTGTGAAGAAGTCATCCTCAGTGCTATTTTTAAATCTAAATCCAGTCTCTAAACACTCAGGGCCTCTGGCCCAGGGATTTCCTGGAATTGTGTGTGTTGTGCCCATATATTCTGGTTATAGAAATATAGGTTGTTTATGTTCACAGGTGTACTCTGTGTACTGTAAGCATGTCTGTCTGATTTTGAGTTTAGTCATTCCGGATCTCCAGCTCCAAATTTCCGCTTTTGAAAGCTCACTCCGCACCTTATTTCATTTAGCTGATGTCAGACAATGATGGAAGGTTATCACCTCACTTACTTTTCACTTACTCATCACAAACATGAACCCCAAATTCATTTACATTGACTGTCCAAAAGAGGCTTCAGCTTGTGCACTACTGTGTCAGTAGTGCTATGGTCTGATTTATTATTTTTTTTAAATTTATTTCACTCTTCATTATGTAATGTTGATGAAACCCATTTCTTTCGAGTCTTGTTTTCCTCCCTGACAGCTGTGGTGTGTTCTTATGTAAGCAGCATGGTTTCATTTAAGTATAATCTTACTTGTTAACAGTCACTGCTAGTTCACAAGTCATTTACTTGGTATTTTTTGATTTTTAGGAGCTGTGTGAAACATTGCATGACAGCTACTGCATGACGTTATTTCTCCTATTCAAGTCGATTATCTTGCATGTCAAAAAAGTAACAGATTTGCATGATATTTCCTTCAGCGTTTGTTTTCCTTGTCTTTCTCGATATTGCCTTTGCTTGATGCTAACACACCCCATCACACTCAGGAACTTGATCAAAACCAGCCCCAGAAGCAACTGGAGGACCAGAAGAGGGTATGTTAGCCCTCAACTTGGCATCACCTGCACTAACACGCACTGCAGCACTAACACACAGCTATAGCTTTGCTAGCTCATTCATTTTTCTCTCTGACCACCTTTAATGATGTATTTACACATGATGTGTTGTGTTTGCTGAAAAAACACGGCAAACACTTCTAGCACTAGTACTGAACATGTAATTTCTGTATTCTATGCACAGTGGTGTATATACCATTTTGGGCTATATGTGTAATGTACTTTATCATCAAAGTTCACTGATTTGAGTTTTCCAATTAAGAAATTTTATGAGTATTATGTCTCTGACTTCTGATCATTAGCGTTGAACTTATGACTTCTCCTATCTCTTTCCCTGAGAGGTGTTCTCCAAGTTAGCTAGCCCCAAGTGCACAACTGTTGTCATGACTACCATAGCATGACCCCCCCCGCCCCCCAGCCAGTTCGAACTCGGAATGACTAATTTCAGCAGCCCCATCTGTGCCCTTTCAGTCAGACCGTTTTATTTCAGTAGTTTCCTAAAGACCTTATTGATTCCAAAAAGATGCATTAATTTTCTTAGCATTTTGGTTAGAAATGTTGACAGGTATGTATTCTCCATCGTTCATAAACTGTCCTTTTTGCCAAGTAATGTTGGCATCCTTGCACAATTTTATTTTCATTTCAGTTTTGTGGAGCTTACTTCTAAAGTTAAAGTCCTGTACACATTTATAAAAGGTGTATGTAAGTTACCCTCATGAATAGTGCAGCAGCCAGTGTCGTGTATCTGCACCGACTTCTGAAGCCCTTCCCTCAGGAGCTCATGGGCTGATCCTGTTCCGTTTATCCAACCGTCTGAAGGGTGAAGCTCTAAGGCAGATTCTGGTGAACCGTTACTATGGAAACTTTAGAGCTGGCGGAAGGAGAGACAGCCTGTCGAGTTTCAGTAATGGTCCCGTGGCCCCTGGAGGGTCAGGCAAGACCCAAGCAGGTGAGCTGAACACCACCGCAAACACAACCAAGACTGTTTTTCGTTTAGCTATCAGAAATAACACTTTTTCAGTGAAGCCACAGTTCTCCATTCTACATTCAGTAAGAACCAGGATTCGCGTCTGCGGCTAAAAAGGAGAGAACTGAAAAACATGAACTTGTGAAAGATAACAGGTGTTGGCGCTATATGCTCTTTGGTTCTGCCAGTTAAACTTTCAGCCCTGGTTCTTCACATTTTTCAAAACCAAATAGGAGCTGAATGGCACCAGTTGTATGCCACTCTCTCTCATGACCTCTCAGTGCATTGCTGAAACAGTCCAGGACCATATTTACATCTGCAGCACGCAGGTGATGCTGAGAGGGCTGCCTGTAATGACAGCTGTCAGCCTCTAGGGACATTACCTTTTCCTCATAAAATACTGATTGATGTGTAAGTTCCTCATTCCAGGTGTAATCAATGATCCAGTTTCTCCTAGGCTTAGTTATTTTTACCTTCACACCAAAAGTTCTGTGCGTAACTGACAGAGACAGGGCTAGTTGTTATACATACAGTATATCAGGGATGGATTGTTGTAGGTATGTATCGTGATGTGTGTGTTGCTTTGGGATGCTGCTTTGAAAGCCAAACTGTTTTAGTGTAAATAAGGATGCACATTGACAAGGACATACTTCTTTAAGAGAAGGTAGTGAGGAGACGTCCCAAAGATGTGGTGCTGAAAGTTGGCAGTACTCAGTATTAGGGCTGGGCGATATATCGATATTATATCGCGCATGTGCAATAACCACCAGGACTTCAAATGACAGACGAAGCATTTGGCCGGACGCCAGCTTTTCGGTGCTATATGGACATTTATTTATGCCCATAATTTGCTAAAAAAATTAGCAGTATGGCTTAAATATTTATGAGATGCGTTTTGTGATACCCAAAAGTTAGTCATCTGTATAAACTTTGTTTCTTAAATTCTATTAGCGGCGCACACCACATAATACTGTTTTAGTATACTACAGTTTGGTGTACTACAGTTTGGTGTACCTCAATGCAATATGCGGTAAAGAAGAGTAGCCACCACATCTTTTAAAAGAGGAGATCTTGTGGATAAACAACGTAAAACGACGTCGGCGGTGTGGTGGTACTTTTTGCAGTTCAAAGTCTGACACTTTTATTAAACATAAGGATATGCCGTATTTATCCTAATAATTACTTTTGGGCGTCATATAAAGCCTCATTAATATTTTAGCCATACAACTAAACTGCTTAACAAATTGTGGGCGTAAATAAATGTCATTTGAAGCCCTGATGATTGTTTCGCATGTATTTGCGAAATACATTATTACATTATTTGCAATGTAATATCGATATATCGCCCAGCCCCACTCAGTATACTATTATTTCAGCAGGAAACCTGAAAATGAGCAAAGTTTAAATGATTCAGCTTGAATTTCATAATTTCAGCGTCATATCAGTATTCTGTTGAGGAATAAAAGTTCATCAGGTGTTATTTTAGCTTCTTTATAAGTTAGTGAAGTTTAAGACGTGTCTGTTCTTATGGGCGTTTGCTCGCTTCATTCCTGCCCAGGTGGGACACTGGTGGCTGGGTCCTTAAGTCGCGGAGAAATGGGCCTCATGGAAGTGCAGTGTCACCTGGACAAGGAAGGAGCTTCGGATCTGGTCATCGACCTCATTATGAATGCCACCAGTGACCGTGTATTCCAGGAGAGCATCTTACTGGCCATAGCACTGCTGGAAGGGGGCAACACCACAATCCAGGTGAGGTGGCTTTGTGTTAATGTTACTGACATGACGTAACAGTGATTTTATTCATCTCATTCTGAAAATTAAAGGTACATAAACTGTTAATCCAAAAGTCAAAGAAATTGACAAAATGCTTAAAGTCATCAATTGGCTGGTGATCGGTTTTTATATCTCAAAAGATTATTCTGACTTTCTCTTTATTTAAATAATTAATTGCCAAATATAAAAATTGCTTAATATTAATTTTGTTTAAACCACTTTCAGTTCATTTCCCATGTGATAATTTTAACTAAGTTGCTGAATCTAAGAATAGCAAGTGTTGGGTATCTGTTATTTTCCAGTCCCCAAAACCAGCACTGTGACGTCCTCCCCTGTCGTCACCACCCGCTCTGTGACGTCCTGCCCCTCTCCTCTACTCCTGGAGTGTGTGGCAGTGCTTCATTTTCTAAGAACTCGGCAGGGAAACGTTTCTCCTGCATTAAGCGATGCCAGTCTGTGGTTTTTACTGAAACCTCCCTTTAGGCCCTCCTCCACATCGCAAAAGAACCGCATTCGGTTACCAACATTCCTGCTGACTTGATGTCTTGCTGATTATCTGCAGTGCAGTTTGCATGTGGCAGGAGTCTTACACTGTCAGAACGAAAGTGAATGAGAGCGGATGACGGACCTTTAGTCTGCCGCTTTATATGTGCGTTTGTTTCGAGTCTGTATTCGTTTTGAAATCTTGAGTGTGGGTTTTTGTGGATAAATGAGTCTTATGAGGTTATGGGATCAGCTTGCTAGTTTCTTTAGTGTTTTAGTTAGTAGTTGGTGGTTTCGGGAATGAAGCGCAATACACATGATTAGCGTATTCCAGACCAGTTCTTCAGGCTTGTGTTAAAAGACTGTATGTGGACCCTATAGTTGCTGATTTGCTTGGAGGAAGCTCCACTCCCTGGGGAGGGGTAATGAATTTCAGGTGCGGATTTACCAGCAGGTGTGCTGTACGTCTTTCTGGCTTCAGGCCTCACCTCTTGCCAGCGGTCTTCACACTGTTCTCACTACAGAAGTACGTAATTTAGGTCTCTCCCACTCATGAAGAAGATGGATGAATCTCAGAAGAGTGTCTGCCTCCGTAAGCAGGGAGGGGGTCCAATTTATAATTCATTGTCTAAATGTTGTCCAAGCTCAGTGTTGGCTGACATGTCTCTTCCTCATCCCACCCCCCCCACCCCCCAAGGTTGCTTTGGCAACACAACACTTCAGCAGAAGCCTCTGAGAAGCCCAGAGACTGTATCGAAGGCAGTAAATGGGGGCTGAATCTAGTGCAAGCGCCTTTTCTCCAGCTCAGCATGATACTTATATGTGCGTGTGTGCTTGCGCAAGCAGGCGGCTTGCATAATCAGATTATATTTACATAGCTGTCCTACCTGATAATGTCCCTGCTCTGAACAGCCCCGCTCAAAGACAGTCATGTGACACTGTTATATAAGGGCTCTTGGAATGAACAAAGAATGCAGTGGGATTCAAAGCATTCCGCTTTCTGGATTAAACTAGGTCATGTCACAGCACTGAAAGCGGGGCGCCTGGGGAGCCCCTGTCCCTCGCCACAGGAATCGGGGTATTCCCTCTTCCTAAGAGCTGGGGATCTACTTCTGCCTCATGTATCGTTTTCTTGAACGTTCTTAGACATACTCGTTTTTTTCCGACCACGTGACCTCCATTGCATGCTCAGAACTTTTACTTTGTGTATCCATATTCTTATCATGTGATAATAGGCTCTTGAATCCAGGACACGTTTTTATTTAAAAGTTGTCACTCTTCTGTATCGTTTTCTCTTCCAAGTGACAGTTGCTGGTGGGCTGGGTAATGGCCATGTTCTGGTTATTATCAGGCAGCATAATGGGATCATGAGCCCCTTGGTCATATGCCACCATGTGCCTCGGTTGGTTTTTCTGTGGTTCCAGATAACCAGGTTTCAGAATGACCAGTGTCTTTCAAAATGGAGAACCACAGTTGCACTTTTTGGTGCATTTCAGATATGTGCTGCGACTCCTCCCTATGTTAAGAAACTTACCTCATGATGTATCCCATTGGGTCTTCTGGAGAACCTCTTCTGTATTAATCAGACAGGGTTTCGTTTTTTTCTCTCCCCTACAGTATGTATTTCATGCTCTTGAAGGCAAGACCCTTCTGGTTGTCCGCCTGAGTCTGGCCTTCAGAAAAACAAAGTGCCGACTGTACTTCCTCATGCTGTTTTAATGCCCAGTACACAGTCTTAAAAAGCTTGCCTGTTCTATAATTCTTGGCCCCTCTCTCCAAGAACAAACAGCCGTTTCTGCTCGACCACGTACAGCCACGCAGACAAATCCAGCCCACATCAGTGGACCCGTCACATCTCATTCCCTTACATAAGTGTCGGTTGTTTTCCTTGTGTTTGGACAGAGGGGCTTTTGTTGTTTTTAATGGAAAGCAGGAATGACCCGGGGAGCAGGCGTTTTGCCCCGTGGTTTGTTTGTTTTCGAGATAATGCAGAGCCACAGTCAGGCAGGCAGCATCCGTTCCATAGTTCAGCAGCAGGGAAGAGGCACGAACCAAGCCATGAGCAAGCCTGATGTTTCCAGGCCAGAGGAGGAGGTGGAACTGTGTCACTGGGCACAAACAGAAGTGGGCCAGGTCACAACCCTGCCTTACTGAGACCCTTCGTATCTGACGGCCCTACGTGGTATGGATTTGGTGTCCTCCAACCGTGCTAATTAGGGACTTTCCCATGCAGTGGTGTGTGGCATACTTAGGAAAATAGGATCTGCTTCTCTTTATGAAGCAGTGTATTTTCTCTTTTTTTTTCTTTTTTAAATCGAGAAGTTGGCCTGAATCGTCCGTGCTGAATGGGAGTGCGTGAAACACAGGAAGTGGGTAGTATTACAAGAGCCACACGGGAAACTTTTTTTTTTTTTTTTTTCCTGTGTGCAAGCAAGAAATGAGGTCAGTGCTGTGCTGTCGGGTGAGTCTCCCTGGAATGCCGTCCCACTCTGTCCTCCTTGCTGATTGAGGGCTACTGGAGATCTGCAGTCTGCAGGAGAAGCCCAGAGTTCCCCCATCACTACCCGTGTTATTCCACGATGGAGTCAGCTCCATGTTCCCTTTCCCGTCAGACCTTTACTTTTATTTGGATAGTTATTATTTGCTTCCCCACAGTTGATCATTCTTCCACGCTTCCTTTCTTCCCATTACAAATTTGTCCTCTGCCAAAAGGTTTATCGTATTTTTATTTTTTTTTGTCCACTACTCTACAGTATGGTTTGTCCGATCCAGTCCTGCGACCCTGGACAAGCAGGCAGTGCAGTGATATGGGGTGGCAACAGTGACGGCTGTTTGGTCTGAAATCTTTCAGTTCCTCCTGAAGCACTGAACTTACTGGGTGCCGGTATTTTAGTAAAGAAATCAGCCGATTTTAAATCTATAGAGTAAAAGTTCAGTGACCACCAGGTATATATAAACAGGTAGTAAATTTACGGGCTTTGCGCTGTGGAAAAAATTGAGACCACAATTTTTGTTTCACTCATTTCTCAATTTATGGGTCTGAATAATTTACATATTTTTTTCAGGCTGTAACCGACTCATTAATTGGAGCCTGATACGATGCTGCCCTAGCAGTGCACCTCACACCTGCACTTAATGTTTCCCATTCCTTTTGAAGTTCACTTCATGTCATCCTCTGATTCATGAGAAGCTGTCAGATAAGTTAACATTCACCTCTGCAATTAGAAAGTTGCTTCTGCCTTTTACCTGGCTGGTTTCTGGTCCTTCCAAGTGTCTCCTGCTTGTGTTCTGCTGTCTTACAAATTTTGAACCTTGAAGCAACCTTCTGCTCAGTGTAGCCTTCTGCCAGCAGAACTACGATTAAACCAGGATTTAAAAATGCAGATTCGTTTAAAAATATGGAGTGGTCTCTTAATTTTTTCCATGGCTCGCTCTATCTGTCTCTATCTATCTGTCTCTATCTGTATATTATTGTATAATGTATGTTATATAAATGTGTGTGTGTGTGTGTGTGTGCATTTGTGTATAAAATATGTATTTATTTCTGAATACAGTGTGAATGGTAAGAGAATGAGGGGGATGGTAATAGTGATGCCTTATAAATGGGTGAGTTGCTACGGGTATTTAGGGGGAAAAAAATGTGTGTGCACGTGCATACAGTATGTATGTATACAAGATGCTTGTTTCTGCAGTGTCTACTAGGGTGTGTTTGCACCTGCTTTAAGTCACTTCCTTGGACACGCTGCACTCAAGTAATGTAGTTAACTACGTGCTTTTGACCTACATACTCTACAGAAATAACTTGATAACACACGCACACCCACACAGTCTCATGCTGCCGCACAAACCACTGGCACTTGAACACGCGCACACACACGCGCACCCTCACGCACACCCTCACATGCCAGGAAGACACACCTGCATGGAACACAGGCCCTCTCCTGGAGCCAGAAGGGGTAGGATCAGATACAGAAAGGGTTCATGGTTAAGCTGTGAACTTGAGAAATAAAGGTCATTGATGCAGTCGAGCACAGCAGTCTGACAGCAGACGCTTCCTGGGCGTGACACCTGGATACAATCCTTTGCAGAACTCCCCTGAACTCTGTCAACATCTCATGTCAACATCTCTACAGGGTGAAGGTGTTTTTGGCCATGTGTAACCTTTTGAAATTGGCTTTCATTGAAGGATCTTGGTCCTGTGCTGCCTGCTATTTGAATATTCTCACTTTGGCATTTTGCTGTCTTGCACAGACAATCTCATACAGGCAGAAACCACTTTACAATTTAGTACTGAGTGGACCAACTCAAGGACCCATTTATGTTGTATATGCAATAATTGGGAGTGCCTCAGTTTTCTTATTCCTCAGTTAAACTAGATTTGGCTTATGGTCGATGTAAAGATAATTGTCTTAATTATTTGGTAACAAAATATGAACAGGGCAGAGGTCCTTACAGAACATATAATCCAAAGCTTGGCAGTTCAGTTATTAGGAATAGGGTGTATTTTTTTTTTCTATGTACCTTTCAGCAAGATGATACATAAATGTAGTGGTGAGTTCTGGAGTAATGGTGGGGTCTGTTATGGCTCCCAGCTATTTTTTTCCTACTCACCTGTACTTTTTCATTTCCCTGCCTTTCACTGCGGCCGAGTGTTAAAGGAGCCTGAAAACTGTAGGGATTTAAGTATCGAAGGTCTCAAACTATAGGTTACAGCTTTGTCTTTGTGTTCTGTGTATCTTGCTGATGACATAATGTTTTAATACGATGCCAGTGATGATAAATATCATTGTTATTGTATTAAACACATAGCAGACAACCTCCTGGAATATGAGAATCTAATTGCTTATTACCACTTGCTATAAAATAAATTTTTAAAACTTGCAGGAAAGGAAGTCTCTCAGTTCGGAGTTAAAACTCCTCCAGTTTGTCGGCCAGAGTGGGTGAACCTGTGAGACAACCTGAAGGAACTGTGCATAAATACGTCCTGAGGGAGCAGGGGCCGCTTGCGGAGCAGTGCATGTGTGGATATGGAACGGCTGATTGGGACTGGGATATTGTGAATGACATATGCTTCCCCATTGCCTCCCACAATGGCCGTCCGCCCACAGCTTCCAGCATCCTCTGCAGCCGCTTTTTCGCGACGAGCCAGCTAATAGCATCGAGGCGAGGCAGGCTGCGCTGGCCCTCCGCTGATTACAGCCCCCTTTCCGCTGTGCGCTGAGCTGCCCGAGGAGAGAGCGCCGCGTTAAAAATAGACGTTACATAACATCCCTTTGTTGATGCCAAGTGCTGGGACAGAAGGGGAGGGTGGGGAACGTGGCATGGCCTTGTTTTTCAGAACAGACCGCCCCCAGCTTGCCCGCACAAAATACTTATTCCATTGAGGGAGTGTCTCTAAAGAAACAGGAAGACCTCCTCGGTGCACTGGAGTCGTCTCCAGGGCTGTTCTGCTTCCCTCAGGTGCGCCTCGTGGGGAACCACCCTGCTTTGGTTCCATTTTTCCGCACCATTTGCCATTTTGCTAACTCCTTTCTGCAGGCAGGTAATTAACACAATAAAGTTTCATATGATTGGAGATGACATTCCAGCTTGCACCGTCGATGGATTATGCGATTCTCTTCTCTTCAGAAAAATGGAAATGAGAAGGTTAGTATAGGTGGGAGACACTCAGGATGTGATGTTATTGCAGGGAGGTGGAAGCCAAGGGATTCCTGGTAGCTAATAATCATGGCGGTACTCAGTCATGCGCCACACACTGGGAGCTGGCCGCGTCTGTACCACGTGATCTGCAGTGGTAAGATAGCTTACACTGCTGCTGGTTAGAAGTGCTGCTGCCTGTCCCTCTGGGTGCTGGGAGTCAGCTAAGGTCCCCCAATCAAGGCATGTACATAAACACATAAACACAAATGCTAAAATGTCAATATCTCTAAGCACTGCTAATATAACTGAAATGTTAGGGTTGTGAAATTTTTCCTACCTTTTCTTTGAGTGTCATCTTACAATATAGAAGTTCTGGAAGTTCTAAATAAAGGTGATGTTTACAGTAGGACAAAGTGGATGCAGTCGTTGGACTTCTGGAATTTGGCATAGCTTGGTGGTAAGTTGCAACATTACCCTCTTTAGCAAAGAAAAACATTCAGCCTAAGTCTGAGTCAGAGGTCTGACGGGAATTTGATACGTCAGTGTGCGTGTACGTGAGAAAGCAAGAGTTTTCACAAGGTCCCAACCTGCATCGGGTGTCTATGCGGGCGGCCCTTGCCTGACAGAGACAGCTGACCCAAATCCCTGGGCAGATTGAGGTGTGCATGTGAGTAGGTGTGCGTGCGTGTCTGTGTGTGTGCCTGCGCGTGCGTGCGTGCGTGTGTG